AGTCTGCATTTTTGCTGCATTTTGGCAGGATGGAGTTGGACTGATGGGTCCAAGACTTATCATGAGAAGGCTCTTTCAGTTTGTCATGGAGAAATAGAAGAGAGGAGCCCTTTATCTACTGGTCCATCCACATCTCAACCCTCATTAAGGTCATGAGATATGGATTGTAATAAAATCCCAAATTCAAATGGCCGAAATGAGCTTCCCCTGTAGGGTGACCAGGCTCAGCCTTGTAGGTGAGGAGTTCCAGAGCCACTGTTCCTCCTCATTAAAATGAGTCAACTGAGGTGGTTCATGTGAGTGGTTAGGATGCGTCCTAGGCTCCAGCCCCTCTGAAGGTACTTTGTGCACACCCAGGAGGAGACCCTGGGACAGACTCTGAACTTGGTAGAAGGATTATTTATCCTCTCTTGCCTGAAAATGCCTTGGGATTCTACAGAAGTAACTGTAGAGTGTCACTGGGGAGAGGTATATCAGGGTTTCCCACCTGGACCTGCTGACTCTACGACCTGACTATAACCAGAAGGTGGATGGATGGATGGATGGATGGATGGATGGATGGATGGATGGATGGATGGATGGATGGATGGATGGATGGATGGATGGATGGATGGATGGAACTGGTTAAAGTATATAAACATTTCTAATGAGCCTAACACATGGTTATTACAGTCATAAACTATATTAATATATTAGTTTATGACAACTGCTTTTTGTTGCTTGTAAAATCTGTGGCAAAAAAAACTAAATAATTGACCAATTACTAATTTCATTAACTTAAGTTTCATGACTCATATGGGTTTCTGACCCCAACTTTGAGAACAGTATGTGTTCTACTTTAAGTTATATCACAGAAATATTTACCAGTACCACAGGAAAGCTTTGTGTTTATGTTGTTTTTGTTTCTGTGCTCCTGAAGAATAAATAAAAAAGGCATTTGCAATAAATGTAACCATCCATCCCAAAGTACAAGAAATMAACATTATGATGGCTGAAATTACTCCTCTGCCACAAACCACAGGCAACAAGTCAATCTAACCTCACCCACCACAACGTGATTATTAGCTCCACTGTGGACTGAAACACTCTTTAGTGCTCCGCTGAACTATATGTGTGAATTACCAGGGCCTGCAGTTTGCTGACAAATCATGTACTTTCCTCCCTCTGTGGTGCCTCCTTCCTCAGGGCTTACAACTCTTACCTACAAGTATCTTACCCCATCAAGCTTCCAATAAAAACTAATTTGTTCTTTTGGGAAATCAAGCCAACTTTTGTTAAGGAGTGGCACTAGCTCCAAGTATCCCATTGTGTCTCGTTTGATTTCTCCTTCTTCATCTTTGGCTCTCATTCCCACTTCCCACTTTGCTACAGCTCCATGAACCCCACCTGCAGCTCACTGAAGAATGATCTGCAGCTGCAAAAAGTGGGCTTCAGCAAWATGATTGCTGTGCACACTGGACATTTATGTGGATGGGTGCAAGGTCTCCAGTGGCAAACTCATTAGTCTAGCTTTTAGTGTCATCACTCACAGAGCAACCCTTTCTTCAAACTTCAGTCAACCTCACAGAAAGCTATCTGCAAACTTGGTTACGACCAAACCCAATTGTTGGAAAAAAATGTGCGCTGTTCAAAATGGTATGTCCGAATAAACAGGATTCAGTTGGATTTTTTCTTTAAAACTTTATTTTCAATCTTCTGACTCCAATCAGGATCACAGAACAGCACTCAGCACACAGGCCTCAGTCAGACCTTGGGCTGACATCAGGAAAACCCAAACACAGCAGCACAACTCTGCTCAGAAGCAGAGACTCTAGCACCCTGACAACGTCTTCTACTATAATAATGAATTCAGCTCATAATGTACATCTCTTCCTGATTACACCCCAGAGGTGTTACTTTTTACGTCAGACGTCAGAACGTCACTCAGTTTTGTTTAGGCTAAGATAAAGAACACATGATAACACACATACACCAACTCTTTGTCAGCTTCAACCTGACAGACTGAAATGATCAGAAAGTATAAAATACAAAACTGAATCTAATATTCAATTAATCAGTAACAAAATTTCTTCAATCCCTCTCTTATAAATAAAATATGTCAAAAGAGGGATTGAAGAAATTTCTTCACAACCATGAATTGTGGGTTCCCATCTGGGGTGTCAAGCAGAGTGGTGTAGCAGAAGCATGCTGGACCAATAACCCAGACGTTGGTGGATTAAAACCATCCACGGCACAGTGGAGTTCCTTCACTGTTCCTGGGAAATCTGATAATACACCAAAAACAAGCCTCAAAGCTACTTTGGTTCCATAATACAATGTAATGAATCAGGTGCAAATTGCATTAGATTGAATAAAGCAAGAGGGATCAATGAACCTTCTGTTCCCATAACTGATTTACAAACATAACGTGTCTCTTAACACTGACAGGAAACCTGCTGATGGTCAGTGTTCAGGATATAGACATGGATTGTGCTTACATAGCAAAATAAGCCTTCAGGTCTGATGAATAACTTAAGAGCAGGCTGTAAAATGACAAATGGCTTGTCTTCACCTGTTAAAAACCACTTTAAAAACACATACATTAGATGCTGGATTTCTTTAACTGTTAATAGTGMTGTTTAGTAACATGGTTTGTTCAATCGTATTCTGAATTTTGTTTAGGTCTCATTTATTAAAATGTTTCATTTTCAGTTGTACCTAAGGACTTAAACATTCCTCATTTGTGTTCTGCCTTGAATAGAAAGAGTGTAAATCTACCGTTAATTTAAACACAAAGGAGGCACCAATAAGAAATGTACATATCTGTAATCAGCTTCTTCCGAGAATTATTTTTGTAACATTGTTTTATGTGGAAGTTATTTATTGAAGAAACTTTAGTTTTGTTTTGTTTCGTTTTGGAACTTTTCCAGTACAATCTCAGGCAGCTCTTCCTTCATTAAGTTGTTTGAGATCAGTCTTTTACAAGGACATATATCGGATGGAGTGAACTCACTGAAGTGACTAAATAAAGGCTTTTAAGTAATTTTATTAAAAACTAAATAACTCCATGTTGCATGAAAGTCTGTTTTCTGCAGACTGAGCTGTGATTTGCTACCATCTACTGCCCTCTAATGTTTGTATCAACACCTTAACTATAACATTCTTGTTTCATTAGTTTGTGTGGCATCTTCTTAAAATTATTTTTTTGTTTTTATTATGCAATCACCTTGCAGCACTGATACAAATCAAGATTTTATTCAACCTATAAAAAAACAAGAAGCTAATGCTACATTTAATTCAATATGAAGAATATATGTGCACAAGTCAGACRGAAGTAGTTTCACCAAAATGAAGTTTAGCTTACTGTAATTAAAAATGTAATGTTGGTTTGAGAAAAAAAATAAACAGAATGCAAGAAACAAACAATATTAAAGTTTGTCAACTTTAATGATTTAGGATTAGTGTCTGTCGTATAATTCTTACGGCTTATGTTTGTAATTATGTTGCTTTTGGTTAAAGCTGGACCAATTTTCACCAACAAAACACTAAGCTGATTTGATGAAGACAATTCTGGTTAGACGGGAGGAAGCCACCTCTGACAACCTTTGTTCAAAGATTGTAAAAAATCTTATCAAAAAGACCAGAATGATTACATTTGGTCCAATGAACCACAGGTCACCAACAAACCATAACATGTGTTAACCAGGAATATGTCCCAACTTTGTACACGCTTCATTCATGTAACAATTTGCAATGATTTGAGAGCAACATGAAAGCTTCAGTTACACACACACACACACAAGAAATTGCATAGCTGCATAAAACATGTAAAAAAAGCCTTTTATTTTTAATATCATGACCAATAGACCACCACCAGATACAAGCAGCTGAAATGAGCTGTCTACTCAGTCAGAGATAGGGTGAGGAGCTCCATCGTCTGGGGGAGCTCAGAGAGGGGCCGATGCTTCTCTGCATTAAACTTAGTCWAAGGAGTTTGGGCTTCTGTATAAGATACCTCCTGAACTTCTTCCTTTAGTGATTTTTCAGGCATAATTCCACTGGAAAAAGGCAAGCCCAGAACTCACTGGAGGAATTGTTTTCTTTGGCCCAGGCACATCTTGGGGTCTCACAACCGGAGATGGAGAGTGTTGGTGAGTAGAGGGATGTCTCTCCTGGATGTACCGTCTCCGCAACCCRACTACCAGTAATCAGTAGAAGATGGAGACTTATAATATTAGATAATCTTTATGTCCGGCATTTTTTTAGGATAAAATGTAAAAGTAAATTGAAAGCTTCCTTCCTCTTCCCCCAACATTTCACAAGTTTATTACCTAAATCAAGATATAGTTCATCGTGGGTGTCAAACTCATTTTCACCGAGGGCCACATGAGCGTTATGGAGGCCCTCAAAGGGCCAATTGTTCCTATGGACAATCGACATGCAATATTGGAGATTAAGTTAGTGGTGGATGCTAGACTTAAAGCAGTTTATTTTAAGACATTATAAAACATTATTACTGAGCTATCTAACTAAATTGCTCAGTTACATATAGCCAACAGCTCAGGGGCAAGATAAGGACTATTAGTTTTTCACCTTTTAAATTTGTGTCTTGTTGCATTTAACCATAAAATTTCAAGTTTACCATTGATAATAAGAAACAACTTTCATTCTAAGTTACAAAAAAATCACATTTGGCCCATGGGCCTTGAGTGTGACACGTGATCTACATTGAGTGTCTTGAGAAAGAGACCATATGACCATATCAACACCTAGACCAGCAAGATAGAGAATATGTCCAAGATTTAAGTGGCTAAAAGCAGAGAAAAAAATCCTTCTTGAAAACACATACACTTTTAACTCATTTCAAAAGTACACATTCAGACTTATTTGACTGTTTAGTCCATTTGTGTGGGTTTTTGTTGAACTGCTTTTAACAATCGTCCAAGTCTTGCTTATTGTCTGTCACGCAGTCTATGAAAACTGATTTGGAATGTATAGAGGGGTGATTTGTGTAAAATCGATCACTTTTACTATCAGAATTTCTTTTATTATTGCTCTTCCAGACTTTAAAACAATCCAGGGATGAGCCTGTAAGGCACTGCATCAGTGTAACGTTTCCAGTCCTTCCCATACTTGGTGCTGCAGCGATGTTCGTCACGCACGCAGCGGTGGACTAGCAGGATGGTCATGTAAACAATGTAGAAGTACGGAAGAATGTGGCCAAAACCGCAAGCAGCACAGTACGCTAAAGAACCCATCAGGTCACCGGTGTAGTTGAAATGACGAGCCACTCCCCAGAAGCCCGAGGTCAGGAGCTTGCTGCGGTGCACGCCGCCGTCAGCAGAGCGGTACGAGCACTCAATGTAGGACGGTTTGCGGCCCCAGATGGAACAAGAGCCATTCGTACGGCGGAACAGATCCTTTTGGTGGTTGGTGGCACGGAAGATGTAGTACCCAACGAGGCCGAGCACCAGGACAGTGAGGGCGTGTGTGTCAGAGAGTTGGACTGGATGGTAAACCAGGTACAGACCCTGAAATAAGAAAGACTCTTGAGTGATAATGTTCTGTTTGTTCTGAGTGTGTTATTTGGTCAATTCTGATTCTGATAGATTTTAAAATATTATAACATCCTTTTTTAAAGTACAAACAGAATGTTACAGTGTCTATTTTGACCCATTTTAAATTTAACTTGATGTAGATGAATAACTCCTTTTTGTTTGTTTATATATGAACAGCATTTTTTTAAAGGGATCCCCGATTAGATGTAACATTAGACTTTATTTAATAAAACATATATTTTAACTGTAAAATAAAGACTGTAAAAATCCTGTAAGATGTTTAGTTTTTATAATTTTTAAACTAAAAGTTTAAAAATATTGTTCACTGATGGGGCCATTTTATTTACATGCAAAGCATTCTGGGTAAATGATGACGTGGATAGGTCCTCGGTGCTAGCAAGCTATATCCACCCTGAAGGTTAATCTTGGACAAAATCTGACGATCGACTCTTTTAAATGAAACCAGAGAGCGTTGACAGAGAGGAGAAGGTAGAAATGACTCAGCCTGKAACTGAAAATATGGATGGAGGACTTAATTTTAGCTTGTTTGTTGCACTAGCACCGAGCTAATACATATAAGGCAATATAGCATCGACACTAGCACAAAGGCTAGCATGCTAAGCTGAGGTTCTTCTTGCATGAAGCAGCTCTGTTGTCCTCCATCTATATTTTCAGTTACAGACTGAGTCATTTCTACCTTCTCCTCTCTGTCAACGCWCTCTGGTTTCATTTAAAAGAGTCGATCGTCAGATTTTGTCCAAGATTAACCTTCAGGGTGGATATAGCTCGCTAGCAGCCTCACACCGAGGACCTATCCATGTCATCATTACCCAGAATGCTTTGCGTGTAAATAAAATGTCTCCGTCCGTGTTAAAATATATTTTTAAAAATGTACAAAACTAAACAGCCTACAGTATTTTTACAGTCATTTTACAGTTAAAATATATGTTTATCAAATAAAGTCTAATGTTACAACTAATCAAGGATCCCTTTAACAAAGAGACTGATCATCACTTAGTCAACATGCTTAAAATGTGAACCTTTAAAGTTTACTGCAAAACGTTTTGTGGGATAATAACACTTAATAAAGCAAATCTTATCAAGCTAAACTGACTTAAATAAACATTAGGACCTAAATCCGGAGGGCCTTGTCAGCTTTGTGTACAAATTTGTTACCTGCAGTGTGTAAAGGAACGGCAGCCAGACGCAGTCACCCCAGCCCAGATACCATCCAAAGTGGTCGTGACAGATATCGATTGTCTTCAAGTACCAAGCTTCATTCCAGAAAAAATCTAAAACATAAATGGCCTAAAACAACACAGAGGGATAAGCCATGCATTTAATATTATTACTGCTATTACATTTTAATATGGAAAGCATGTGTGATATAACATGTAAATYAAAAATAGTTAATATTTTACAGCAGGAGTGTCAAATTCATATTCACAGAGGGCCACATGAGCATTGTGGTGGCCCTCAAAGGGCCAGTTGTAATTAACTTCAACCTTTTCATTTCATGTTTAACTAAGACTAAACAGAAAAAATCACTTTCTTTGTGTCACTGCTATAGCTAAGCACCGCTAACTAACAATAACTGAGCTCTATGCGGTATTTCCTGCATGGAAACAGTGTTTTAACACATCCTCTTAACACTGAAAATGTACAACTGACCTAAATATGAAATAAATAATATGGAAATACTATTCAAAGTGAACATAAGAGAGTTTTACTCACTGTTGACTTGTGATAAGTTTGAATTCTGAACTCTCCCACTTTCTGAGAGGGAATTCCCATGCATAATCAACATGCATTATGGGAGATGTAGTTTATGGTCAATGCTGCCTTTAAAGCAGCTTAATTTGAGACATTAATACAGGGCTGTTCAACTACATTGTTCAGGGGGGTTCAGATTATGTCATATGGCAAAAGGGATCAATGAACCTTCTGTTCCCATATTATATATGGCCTTGTATTTGACACATGTGCTTGAAAAACTTGATTATTTCTTCCAAAGACTTATCAAACAGACTAAATCTTATCTTACTAAGTGTATAAGGTATCAAGTTTCCATCTTACCTGCAGCACGTTGACCAGGATCATGGAGTTGGTGATGTGACCATACAGTTCTTGCTGCTTGGCCATATAGGACAGATTGATCAAAGTCCAGGCAACAATACCGGGTCTACCATTGAAAAACAGCTTGAAGTCAAACCACTTGCCGATGCGCGGGTTGAACTCAATGCCCATCATGTAGTTATAGAAGATGTTCCCTGTAAACTTGCTGTAAAAATAATAATAAAAAAAAAAAAAACACAGCAGGTGAAAGACAACAAATTGGCACAGTTGTGAAACTTTGCAGATGTGTGAACAAATCAGACAAAMAGCTGCACTCACCAGTCTTCAGGGTTGGTGGGGAAAAGGTAAGCCTTTATGAAAGCAAAGGTGGCTACAGCATAGCCTAGAATATTGGTGCACCACATCAGGGGGATCCAGTTGTCGAAGATGATAGTGGGAGAAAACCAGTGGAAATAATGGGCATTGGCAAACCACAGAGCATGAGTTATCAGCCAACACTGCAGCCCGTTGATCTCATACTTGTTAATAAGACCTTATAGATCCAAGAAAAGAGAGGAGCAGAACAAAAACATTCAGACTGACTAATATAATAAACCTTACCAATAATGATTTGCTTTGTTCTGATGAGAAAAACATGTTTACCAGCAGGAGTCAGTGCTCCRTCCTGCACTCCACCAACATAACCAGGAATGAACTTGTGAACAACATCAGGAACACAAACRTAGAGGAACACCTAAAGAATAACATGGCTTATATTAAGTTACAACGGACAGTTTGTGTCAGATGAAGYGCCACCAGGCCCCATTCTTACCTGAAAGCTCACCCAGATGGCATATATTTTAGCAGCTGACCATAAAAAGGAGGGGGCCCGGGCCCAGATGGAGAGCAGTGTCGTCTCTCCTTGGTACAGCGCTAACAGGGGCTGGCTGATGGAGCACTGATACTGATCACAGGCCATCATAAAGTAGAAGACAATGAAGGGGGCAGAGCAGAGGAGGCCAATGACACCAAGCAGAGAAAACCAGTCCACCTCCCTGAGAGACGATACAGATGCAGAATGAGGAATAGATTTGGTTGTCAGAATCGAGAGAAAGAAATATTTACTTTGAATCTGAACATTCTAGATAGCTAGACATGTTTATGTGTGAACTCGAATGTCATTAACTCATTGAGATTTGTGAAAATCTACTGTAAATTCAGTGGTAAGGTTTTATTATTATTACTAATTTTGAGCTTAATTGTTAAACAACAAAACTGTACAAAAATATGAAATGAAGTGAATTTAGGACTACTCACAATATAAAAACAAAGTGAGCTGAACCTAACTTGTAAATAATTTCTGAAAGACCTGTATTTTACCATGGTGACCTAAAATTTTAACAGTCACCCTTGTGACACTAAAACTTTACAGATGTGAAAATGCAACTAATACAGTTTCTTAGGGCATCCCTAGTTTGTGTCAATAGTAGCAAGTAAAACAATGCTGTCTATGAATAATTATTTGGTATGTAAACAGGGCCACACTCAGTCTCTGTGTAGTAAATACTGTCTGTTATAAAACCATGATGCAGAATTATGTTCCTTTAGAAACACATTTCCATCACTTGACTTGTACTATAACAGAAACGTAACTACGTAAGAGCAGCTTTAATGTGTTAAGATGTATTAAAGTGTTGATCGTGATCACATTTCTTGACACTAAGAGAAGTAAAAAATAAATTTAAACTTATAGAACCTTGTTTTTTTTGTTGTTTTGGTGTTGATTAAAAATAAATAAATAGATTAAAAAAATTAACAGCATGACCTGAACTCACCATGCTCTCCCCCACTGTGCTGACTTCTCTGTGGAATCAGATGCTTTTCCGTTGGTTCTGTTCTGTGCACGTCTTCTTGTGGCCTCCATGATCCCTGAACTGTTCAGCCCTGATGAAGGATCAGATTATCAGGTAAGGATCTATGATGCAGCAGCGACCTTTTGCACTTGGTATATTGCACAATCAGTGATATGCACAAAGTGAACACGTAATAGTTTTTTTAAATCTGTTTTTCAACAGCAATTTTCACAGTCACTGCTCCTTCATCGTTTTCTTACTGTCAAACAAATGTTTATCTATAAGAACCAGAAAAAAAGAAAAAAAAACAGACAAATGAGTTTAATTTAAAAAATACCCAAAAATGAGGAGAAAATAAAGTAGAGATAAAAAGTCATTAATGCTTCAAAGGCCATTTTGAAGCACAACTATCATAACATCTCTTTAAAAACCAATAAAAAAAAAAAAACTAAAGCGAAAGGAGTACATGAACCAAGTCTCTTTTTTTCTTCTTCTTCTTTTTTTAGAGTTGTTTTAACTTCCTTACAATGCAACCACGGGCCTAGTTTAAATGTGACATGAGATATACGGGTTAGCACAAGTCGAAAGTTACAGTGAGTTAAGGAAATTCACAGCACACACCAAGATACACAACTATAGAATAACATGTAGTTAGGGCATTTATTTTCTTTTTGGCTAGAGGACCCTCGGTAGCTTATTTTCTTCAAATGAAAAGTGGGAGGGGGAAGTCATTGTGTAATATTTACAAAAAAATCATTGTATGGAAAAACACAATAGAATGTTTTTTTTTCCATATCTTGCAAGCATTTATTTTCTTAGCGAACACGACTACGTGAAATAACGGTAACCCTGTTGTTTTTATAAAAGTGTAAACGATACAAATACATTTTGGACATGGAATGACGTACAGACGCCATGTGCAAATGCACAGCTAAAACCACAGTTTACTCACCCGTCGATAACTATGAAGTTATACAATAAACGCACCCTTTCAAATCCCGATTTCTTCTGCAGAGCGACTGCTGCTACTCTTTGCTAACCCGCTAGACAGAACCCCTACGTGAGCGATAAGACCCCGCCCCTAAGCCAACACGTTCTGCGTTTAAACCAATAGGATTTGCTTAAAGGCGGGTTTATGTTTGTTTAGTGATATCTGATTGGATCTTGATGACTGGAGCCATAAGCGCCTGATGGGTTTCAAAGCACGGTCGTATGGTCAGTGTGAGATTGGACCGGAGAGGTGAAGATAAAAGCTTTGCTGTGATTGGTTGTTTGGACCAGAGGACGCTCTAGGGTTGGTTGTAAGAATACTTTTGGCCAAAGCGCACACCTGATACAAACACCAACCTTTGAACGTCCGAATATTTTAGCCTGAATAGCATTTTACTGGCTACTATTTAATAAATTCATCATACATGTAACTACGAGTAAATAACAAATGCATTTGTTAAAATATTGCAAAGGGAATTTCTTATGTTTTTCATTTTTCTTGCTTTTCTGAATACTGCAATCAGAAATAACACAAAGTTGAAGTCGAGCTCGTCTTTAAAACAAAGCTTCTTCATCAACACAAGCACTAAAACATAATACATTATTATGCATTGTATCCATTACATAAAAGATGCATATGCTTTAAAAATTGTCAGAAAAAAAAAACTTCTGAATAGTCTAATAATCTGACAAAGGTGTATTTCAAAGAACCGTATCTCTGGAAAAGACAAAAAAGTATTGAGTAAATATTTGGCCACAAATAAGAGTAAATGTTTCATCAGTATCTCTCTGTCACATTTTGTGTTGGGTTTTTGTCAACAGGAAAAGAAAGAAACCCATTCGACACAGATGTTTTTGACGGATGCATAAACTAACCACCAGAGGGCGTAATTGGGTTGTGAATCTTTCATCTGCTGGGTCAAAAAGTGGGAAATTCCTGTGTCATTAGCTACTTTTGGCTCTTTTTTTTCATGGAGTTCATTGTGCGTACATGCAAATAACTCAAAACTCATCACTTATCACATATGTTCATCGGAAAGACATTTTTACAACTTATTGTAACCAACAGGTTTTGTGTTGTTTTGAGTAAAGTCTGGAAGTTGGGAATTTTTTTCCTGCCATAAAAAAAAAAAAAACCCTCTAAGTCCTGATCCAATTTCTTAGTAGATCATGGTGCTACCAGCTGAGGAGCTTTTTCTCTGCTTTCTACAATCATCACATCATTATTTCCCTTGCTTTTATTCCCTGGTCTTATTTGTCTGTGAGTACTGTGTTTTCCCCTCCAATCTCCCCTTGTGACTTTTCTTGTTTTTTGGTTTATCTTCTGTGCTCTTTTCATTCCTCTCAGCTACACTCTTTGATCAGAAAGCCCTGTTGATCTGCTGCATCCAGACAGTGTGATGTATCTGGGCCAAGCTTCCAGACAACACATCTGAATGAAAGCAAAAAGTCAGTGCTGACACTTTTCTTGCATTTTGTGAAACTGCATGGAAAGTTGCACAGGCCTGCTCTCTGGGAGTTCTTTTATCTGTTTTGTTGCTATTTTGATAGCTTCTCTTAGAAGATTTAAATGATCTACACAATCCACAAATCACAAATGAACATGGCAACAAAGAAGCTAAAATTTGTGGGTTTTTTTCCTGTTTTGATATTCCAAAATGTCCCAGTAAATGTGGGTTGAGTCCCCAAAAAACTTCCAAGGCCATTATAGGAGAATTCCAAAGTCAGTGGATAGTGTCATGTCACACCATCACATCTGCTTTATATTCACAAAAAATGAAACATAAAAAAGATACTCCATCTAAAGCAGAGGAGCCCAAAGTGGGGCCCAAGCTATTTGATTTGGCCCACCAGCAGTTATTTCATCCATTGGCCCAATGACTATAAGGGGCTGTAGTGCAGATAGTTTTCACTCATGGTGCTGACTTTATGTTTAATAAATTAAGATTAAACATGAAACATGAAGTAACAACAAGTGATATTTAGATTAGATTTGCACACTTTTTAAGGCCACAAATAGTCATATTTTATAAATTTAGCAAATTGTGTTGGACAAAAACTTTACCATGTCTGTTTTAACAATATGCAGAAATACGTGATCAAAAAAAGGTCTTCACTACAATGGTCTCAGAGTAATTTTATTGTAATAAAATGAGAGTCAACATGCATACAGCAATACAAGTTGAGTCTGAGGACACAGTCCCAGTGAAKCATCTTTTATACTSTTCCAGTAGAAACCAGTCCAAAACCAGGTCATATTTGACAGGAAAGGAGTCTTTCTTATCTGAGCAGTAAATATTCCTAGTTTCTGTTAAAATCCTGTTCTGTGGTTCTTCAACAAAGAAGAACATCTTAAAATGCGGTTATAATTCCTATTTCATCATTACTTACATGTTCCCATTCCAATAGTAACAAAGCAAATAGTTTTGCAATCCACTTGTGCAGAAACCACAGTATTGTGTTAAGTTAAAGCTTGAAGAACAAGAAAAGGCACAATAAAGGTGCCCTGCTGGAAACTTACAACATGCGTTAAAACAATTCAGAATAATGTGACAGTACATATGCAGTACATTTTACAAGTAAAACATAGCTGAAACACTGTCAAAATATAAATACATGGGCAACAATTTTATTTGCCTTTGCAAAATGTCCCATGAGCCTTTGCTGCTTGAGCGTATGGCAGACTTTCTCTAAGTGCACAGACTAAAACAAAAGTGGGCCATCTCAATGGCTGAAAGCTTAATTGTTAAAAATACAGGATTTTACTTAAAATAATTTCCTGCATCTGGCACAGATGCAGGAAATGATGGCATCTCAGGACTATCAAGAAACACTGGAGTGAAATGTGCCGCCCATTGTCAAAAAAAGGTTGGTTTCAGTTGCAGGTCATGGGTCATCCAACAGGATAATGATCCAAAACAGGCAGGTAAAAAAAAAAACACCCAGGAATGGCTTAGAGCAAAACACCGGAGGGGTGGTCCTCTGCACCTGTGGGCAGMGACCAGTCTGCAGCTAAGGTTTCCACTGATGAGCTTCTCCCTCTATTTAAGCTTGTTCATTCAGCTTGGTTGATGCTGGAGTATCTTGTGCCCTAAGGTAAAGATTATCAGGCTGTTCAGAGTGCTTGCCCCCTATGAGAACTCAATGCTTGCTTTACTTGTGTCTAGTCTATGCCACAAGTATCCTTGAAGAAGAACCTGCTGGAGCTCACCAATCACTGGTACACTTACCTGGATGAAGACCTACCTGAGTTGCTTCTTCCTCCTTTGGCTGGGTCATCCCACTTACCTGGTGTCCCTCCTATGGTTCCTGGGTCCTCCCTGACCTGCACTGGGTCCGTCTGTAAACACTTACCTGCTGGAACCATCTGCTGGACATTGTAAGGATTGCATTCTCAGTCATTAATCCTCCAGAACTCAATACTCACCTGTCATTGTTCCTCCCAGATCTGGATCCAGTCCCTGTTTCACTTGTACAGGGCCWTCTCAAAAAATTAGCATTTTGTGATAAAGTTCATTGTTTTCTGTGATGTACTGATAAACATTAAACTTTCATAATTTGATTCATTGCACACCAACTGAAGTAGTTCAAGTCTTTTATTGTTTTATTTAGATGGAGATGGGGATTTTTGATTTTTCTTTACTTTTTTGCCAAAATCATTAATATTAAAACAATAAAAGGCTTGAACTACTTCAGTTGGTGTGCAATGAATCAAATTATGAAAGTTTAATGTTTATCAGTACATTACAGAAAATGAACTTTATCACAATATGCTAATTTTTTGAGGACTTTATGTGCTGTAAATAAATCTGTTGATTTTGCATCATGCCTCTTGGTACTTCTGTTCCTCTCCGCTGCTCGATTCATAGACATATCAGGTGAATTCATGATGGCACCATGATCAAAATCCTGTTGAACATCCATGGGTGCAGCTGAAACATACAATCTGGAGAAAAAACTCCTCAAACCGGAGACAGCTGAAGCAGTTTGSTCAAGAGGTGTGGGTTGAAATATCTGACTAGGTGCAGAGGTCTCATAAAAAGTTACAGATGTCGCACGATTTCTGGAGTTTGATTTGTACAGTAAAATTTTCAGTTTGGGTAATAAGCCTCCATTTTGTTATATCAGTGATCTTTTTGTCCTCTTTAACAATAGAGTACAAAAGGAAAATTGATATGCATTTGAATAGTGTTCATCAAAACATCAGCCAAATGGCGGGGGGTTAAAAAAATGGGCAATTCCTCCTTCATATTGCCAAAATATACAAATAATTCTCAGTTCCCCAAAGCAGCTCATGGATTTTTCATCAAACTGAATAGTTTATCATAAAATATTACCATTGTTACCAAAAAATTCTAAAGAAGGTCTTTGCTTTGTGTATCTCCAGTATGATCAATCCAAAAAGATCCATCACTGGTGGGACGGCACATAGGATTTGGCTGAAAGAATGAGGGGAGTGTCTGACATATCTTATCCTAATCAGCTCCCCTGGGACGGTGCATGTCTGTCTTTATGCAGAACTCTGTCTGTGCAGCCCTGCATCATTTTAAATTAATAAATACATGTATGTTGTCAGGGTGTGTTTATTGCTGTGTGCAAATGCACGCGTGTTCCATTCTTTTATAAAAAGTGAGGGCTTGTTCAGCATGAGACCATGATGCAACACAACTCTTTAATATTTCACAAGGAGAGTGAAAAATGAATGAGAGCAGATTATTGCCTCTGTTTATATCCTTCCCCTGTCCAGATGTAAATGTCATCCTTCACTTCTGTGCTTTGCTTTAATTCAGCTGCTACACAGACTTATACTAGTATTAAAATACAAGTTCTTTGCCTAAAAATGTCCTAAATTTAGTTTGTTCATGAGAATTCATTGACATTACAAGCATCTTCAATTCAAAGGCAACATGGGAAACAAACTGTCATATGGGCTGACTGTGGTCCACTTCTTTTTTTTTTTCCAAGACCCTCTTCACCTTGACCTCCACCTTCAAGGCTATGGCAAGACGAGTTTATTTAATCAGCAACAAGACAATCTGAAGTGCCATAAACAACATTCATCATCTGCT